CAGAATCTGAAGCAGGCTCCAGGCTCTGAGCTGTCAGCACAGAGCCCGACGCGGGGCTCGAACTCATGGACCACGAGATCATGACCCGAGCTGAAGTCGGGACGTTTAACCGACTGAGCCACCCAGGCGCCCCCAAAATAGGATTTAGGGTGTCTAATGACCACGTAAACACACGGGACGCCAAAATGACCGGCACGAGAAGCAGACTAGGTCAGCCTCTAGCTCATGCACCCCCAACGCCACAGGAAGTGATACGGGTGACAGGATGGCAGCAGGAAGGGACGGAGGGGCGACTCTCAAGAGAGCCGAGATGGGATGACGAATCCAAAGGAATACACGGCTCTAGCAGAGGAGTAGAGGGCTTCCTACAGGAAGAGTGAGGACGGTAGATGGGGACCATCTTCTTCTGCTTACCTGGGATTGGCTTGCAGGATTTACCAAGGACCTGAAATTAAATTCAGCAAATACCATCTGAGCCGTCGGTGACGTGCCAGGCCCCGTGCTATGTCAGGATGAGTAACTGTGGGGCCTACAGCAGAAACCGCAGCCTGTCATGGCCAACCCACCACCGCTAAACCTCAGCTCTCTAGTTCTTTGCCCTCTGAATTTCTCCAGCCCATTCTCCTTTTATTTAAGCCACGGACCCGAGAGAAGGATCCTTCGTTCTTTTCCAACTACTGCTGAGCCGACCCTCCTCCCACCCTGAGGTTTCACCTGAGTCGGATAGTTGACAAACTGTAGTGCTGAGTTGCTGGAGACCATGGCACCCAGATAGGAGACCGAGCAGGCAGCATAGAGCCAGCTCCGAGTGCGATCCACCCTCGCAGTGTCAAAAAACTGGATCACTGGGAGAAGACAAAAAAACATGTTAAGAGAAACCTGGTGGGCCCAGGATGGACTACTGAGCAAAAGTTGGAAGCCACATGAAAGGAACTTGTCAAATAAGACGAGCAGCACAAGGTATTTCTGTCCTCTTAGACTGGGAAATCTCTGAAGATTACGCTCCCCAGTCTCACCTACGCCTAACACAAGACCACATGCAGAGCAGAGATGGGGGCTCATTCAGTTCAAGGGACTAGTTAACCCTGATGCAGCCCCCAGGGAACAAAGAGAGAAGCTCAAAACATGTTTGAAGCTGACGCATAAAGGAAAATCAAAGGGAAAAAGAAAAGAAAAAAAAGTAAGGATTCTCCGTGGGGATCTGGAACACAGAAGACCCATTGTCTGCACATTTCTGACTCAGAAGTTGGTCTGATTTGAGGAAACAGGGTTGTACCCCGTTCCAAAGCCATTCGTTTTGTACACCGAACAGAGAGGTTGCGAAAGTGCTAAAGAGGGTGGAGGTCTTGGGAGCCGGGTGGGTAGGGAGAGAGCACGCAACGCATTACTATACAGGTACTCACAGATCTTGGCAAACACAGCATTGATCACACATTGGATGAAGACCAGAGTTAAGGCAAAAGTGAATGTCTCCGGTTTAGCTCCCTCCCCATACTTTCCTCTTGTTCTAAGAACGAAAAGGGGGGGGGGGGG